TGCACCTGCCAAGAGGTGCCACTTTAAATCCCACGGCCCAGCAGTGACATTAAAGAAAGGAGTTCTCCCCCTGCTGGTGGTGGTGGGGTGTTCTCATCCCGCCCAGCCCTGCCCTGCGTGTGTGTGTGCATGTGAGTGTGTCTGTGCCTGTGTGTGTCTGTGGGGCCCACCATGCTGCCAATGCTGTGTGAATCTGCATGTAGCTGAGCTTCTGAAGTGGGCCCTGTGTGTCTGTCCGTCCCACCTGTGACCTGTCCCCAGGCCACATACCTTAACGGGTTTTCCAGGGACCCCCCCATGGGCCCTGGTGAGGGGTGGGCATCCCTGGCCATCTGGAGAGGAGAGGCATGGGGGTGGTGAGATGTGGACACAGACAGTTCTAGGCAGGTGTCCCTTGTAAATGACCCTGTGCCTCCGACGACGAGCTTGCTGCCCACTGATGCTGGACCGTGGCCCTCTGCTGTGTGTGTAGACTACGTGAAGGGGTTTGGAGGGAAGTTTGGTGTGCAGACAGACAGACGAGACAAGTGTGCCCTTGGCTGGGACCATCAGGAGAAGGTGCAGCTGCACGAGTCTCAGAAAGGTACCCATCCCGCCCTCGCTGCAGGCGGCACCGCCTCTGCCTCTTTGTCCTCTCTGGGGCGGGGAGGTCTGTGTCGGCGCCACCCCATTCCCTCAGGCCCCACCGTCAGGCTGGGCAGCAGGCAGGGGTTACACATTGGGCTGGCCTCCGCAAGGTCAGTAGTTCAAACCCTCAGCCGCTCCTCAGGAGAAAGCCAGGGCTGCCTACCCCTATAGGGAGTTTCAGTCTGAGACCACTCTGTCCTGGAGCGGAATCGGCTCCATTCCAGACCTGGGCCTGTGGGGGTGGGGGCGGGAGCTGTGGCAGTCTGCAGACCTGTCTGAGGTCGCCTCCCGGGGGCCCGGGAGTCCTCCAGCTCAGGAGTGTGCTGCTCGGCAGGGAGGGGGTGTTTGTGTGCACTTCCTGTCGGGAGCCCTTATTAACCCCAGGCAGGGGCAGATGGGGGAAGGGAGGTCCTGGGTCCTGCAGAACAGACCCTGACCCAGCAAGAGTGACACCTCCAGCGCACGCCCTCAGGCCGAGGAGGACGTGGGGGCAGCGACAATGTGGGGAGGGTCCAGCACTTGTCCCTGAGCCCCGGTGTGAGCTAGCTGTGCCTGGGAGTGTCAGGGCTTGGGCAAGCCTTCAGCCCTGCAGGTGGGCTCTGCCTGCCCGGCTTCCTCTGGGCAGGTCTGGCGTCTCTAACAGAGCTTGTGTCTCCTCTCCCGTGCCCGCCTGCAGACTATAAGGCGGGTTTTGGAGGCAGATTCGGCGTGCAGTCGGAGAGGCAGGACCCCTCCGCCGTGGGGTTTGAATATAAGGAGGAGCTGGCCAAGCACGAGTCCCAGCAAGGCACAGTCACCCCCCCCACCCCCCTTACCCCTGAGCACAGTCGCCCCTGCCCCCCACCACCACTCGTAGCACAGACTCCCCCCGCTAGTGCCCACACCCAGCAGTACCTCCTTGTGGCCCGCCTCCCTCGGCTGCCCAAGACATGGGCATGAAGCCAAGTGGAGGACCCCAGGCCCGAGCCGGGCGTGTCCGCTTGGTCTGTGTCTCGGGGGCTGCGGGCCGGGGGAACTGTGCTGTCTACTTTGTGGCAAGCCAGGCGCCGAGCGTGTCCGCGAAGCTGCCACACCGATGCGTGTGAGCCCCTGGAGCCGGGGTGGCGCCCGGCCAGGCGGCAGGACGTGCCCCTAACCCCCAGTGCCTTAAGTTGGGGGCCCAGCCGCCATCACTTGTCAGTGCCCCTCGAGAGAAGGAGCGGGCGGCCCACCCCCAGAAAGGCCTCTCTGGCGAGGAAACCCAGTGGGGCGGATGTGGGGTCCCCCAGGAGTCAGCCCGGTAGTGCGAGGGTGGGTCTGTGTGGCTACCGAGTGCGTGTGCCCTCACCCCTCTTGTCGTGGCTTTTTGTGTCATATTGAGAAAGCCATCCAGCTGGGTGTAGAAGACTGTGCTACTAACGTGGTGCCCACCCTGTCACTGTGCTGCTGCCCACCCCCACCCCTGCCACCCGTGCTGCAACCCTGTCCCCACCCCCAGCATGCAGAACGCATGCTGCCCTCCTCCCAGCCCTTCCTTTCCAGGTTGGCGGGTCCAGCCTAAGGCCTGTGTGCTGTCCCCCACAGATTACTCCAAAGGGTTCGGCGGGAAGTACGGGGTACAGAAGGACCGCATGGACAAGGTGAGCACCACACGTCATGGCCTCGCCCAGGGTGTTGGGAGGTGGCCAGGCCTTTATTCCGAGGCACCCGGGGGGACTGTAGCTCCTTGGTTGTGTGCCCGCTCCTGGCTCTGCCGATCTGGCCGCATTCGGGAGGTTGGGCCCTGTGCTCACACCGTGGCCAGTGCCCGTCACTGGTCATGCCGACAGCTTTCTGAGGGTCGCACCCTGTCCCCAGCCATTACCCTCATAGCGCTGTCCGTTCTGGTCGGCCTGCCCCAGGCCAGGCAGGGTTCCCGTCAACCCAGCCCTGAGACCAGAGGCAGCTTGGTCCCCAGGAAGTCGGGGGAACCCTGACGGAGCTGGTGCCTGTAGGCCTGGGGTGTCGGCCGTTAGAGCTGATGTCTGTAGGCCTGGGGGTGTTGGCCAGGGGAGGGTCTGCGAGGTGGCACTGCTCCAGGGCCAGCAGTCTTCCGGCCCTGCAGCCCTGTGGTCATGACCCTGGGGTGACCTGTCTGGGGGGGGTCTCTGTGAACGCCTGTCTCACAGCGGCCATCTGTCTGAGCCCCATTCTGTACGTGTCTGCCGGATGCTGGTTTTCCTGGCGTCCAGTCCCGTCAGGAGGCCAGTCTCATGGCGGCTTCCAGCTTAGCGAGTTTGCAGATGAGGCTGACACCCCCCCACACCCCAGCTGCGCCTGCCTCCAGGGTGGTCCTCACCCCCACAGCCCAGGGCCGTCTCCTTGGTTGGAGGCAGCCTTGGCTCCTAGGGAGCAGCCCGGCGGGCTCAGGTCGTGGGCCGGCAGAGCATCAGGAGGGGTCGGGTTGGCAGAGCTGAGAGCCTGGCGCGTCTGCATGTGGGGTGGCTGGCTTCCAGGGCTGGGCCGCAGCACAGCGTGGTGGGGAGCACTGGGGCTCCAGCCTGCTGGAGACTCTTGGGGGGTGTTTTGAGCAGCACACCTGGGGGACCTCACCAGGAAGGCCAGGTCCCTAAGGGGTTGGCCGGTGCTGGGCCTGGACAGGTCGTGGAGGGGCCCGGGGAGAGTAGCGAGCTGTGGGTGATCACCTCTCGGTGCCTCTGGACGTCCCGGGGCCCTGGAACAGTAGCTGCTCTCATGCCGATGGCCAGGCTGTGCAGGGGTGACTGCCGGCCTCCTTGTTTTCTCGGCCCTGTGCTGTCTCCCCATGTGGGGATGCTCTGCAGTGTGCCTGGGGGCCAGTCAGAGCCGGGCAGCGGTCGTCTGGTGCCCGGGCGGGGCCGCTCCACCGAGAGACACTTTCCTGACGCTCCTCTCGCCCTCAGAACGCATCCACCTTTGAGGACATCGCCACGGTGCCCTCTGCCTACCAGAAGACCCTTCCTGTGGAAGCCGGTGCGGCCCTGGAACCTACTGGGGGTGGGGGGTGGGGATGTGTGGGTGCAGCACAGCGCAGGGAGGGGGCCTTCTGATGCAAACGTCTGTCCCCCTCCAAGCACCCGCCCTCTGGGAGGCTGTGGGAGGAGCCCCTGTGGTGACTGCCACCCCTAGACCCATTCACGGCCATTGTCCTGCTGAGGAGCCTCAGCTGTGATGCAGGGACGTTGGGGTGCCGGCACGTCCGTGGGAGATGTCTGTCCTGTCCTTCCCTTGGGACGGCTGGGGCGTTCAGGACGGCCGCCCATTTTGTCCTGCGTGGGGGTGAGACATAGCTACAGGAATTCCCCACGCCCACTGCTGTCACGGTGACCGGTGACCGGGTGGGATGGGGTAGAGCTGCCCCCGGCTTCAGGCTGTCATTGTGAGCAGGGACTGCGTTCAAGGTGAGTTCTGCCTGCCACAGAGCCGCCGGGGCCCCTTACACACATGGCCAGGAGTAAAGCCAGCCCTGCCCATGGCCCCACCAGGGCATCCTTGAGTGGAATTGCCTCTAAAAGAAACAGTAGTGCGCGTGGCCCTGGTAGTACTGGGCCACAAGGTGAGCGGTTCAAACCCAGCATCCACACCCAGAAAGAAGAGGCTGTCTGCTCCCGGACAGGTTTCCAGCCTTGGAAACCCCAGGGGCGGCCCTGCTCTGTC